TTCTCACCTAAAATTGATGCTCGTGTATCCCCAGCCTTCACTTGTGGAGGTTTCCAAGAACTAAAAACAGAGCTTTTTAGCTTGAAACCTCTTGAACTTGGCATTGAAGCTGATTATAACTTAAACCTTTGAAGGGGGCTAGGGACAGACTGTATCCATGTTGCTGTGACCTCCAGAGGAGGGGTGGGAGTTTGGGATGGAAACAAGAGAAGAGGTGTGTGTTGTTCCTGAAAAACCAACACCAGAGAGCTTGATGAATCAGGGCTGCCTTATTATAACATTTACTATTTGAGGCCATTCCTGAGAAAAAATCTGGTATATCAAAATTCTTGTATTCATATTTATGAGTCTTCTTCTTACTACCTTATTTATACTTTGCTCTTTTTGTTTGTGGTTGATTGGTGTTACTTGTTTCTTTAACTTACTGATGCCTACCGTTTCGTTACTAAAATGCCTAAAGGACATTCCTTAGACCTCTAGGGAAATGCTGGAGAAGATAAACAATACATGTAAAATATTTACACCATGGTAGGGACTCAGCAACAAGTGAATGAAGGAATCATAATAATGGCCATCAGTCATTAATGCAAATGACCAGTTTCGGGCTAGGGGCTCATCTAGCTCATGCTCAGTGTTTTACATACATTTCCCTGATACTAAAAACAGCCCCAGCAAGGTATTACGGCCCAGCCATCATACCATGTTCCCAAATAACCCCTCTAGCAAGCAGTACAGCTGAGAGCTGGATCTACCCCTATCATCTCTCGAACCCAAGGATTAATCACTATGCTACACCATCTCCTTGGAAGTGAGGGAGGAAAGGATGAGGGGAGGAAAACTTAAAAAGGGGGGGGGGAGGAAGAAGACGGGAGGGAGGGAGAAGAGGGAGAACACAAGAGGAATGGGGAGAAAAGAGGAAAATTTAAGAGACACGGTCGGTACATGTCATCAAGCTCCACAGCAGGTTCCACTGCAGCGGCCTCTCTCCATGCGCAGTTATTCTGGGCACGAGGTACATACAGGAAGCATTTCCAGGAAGAATTTTTTCAGTTGATTCTGAGACTAATATCTAAGGATTTGGTTCAGTCCTTCCATAGGGACAGGAAGTTTGGTGAACAGGAAGTTTTTAGAACAGGAGAACCTGGAGGTTGAAATGATTTTAGTGACCTAAGCAAACATCTGAGCAGTTTGATGATCATCTTTGGGGCTTTCTCCAACTTTGGGGGGAGCAGGCCGTGTGCGGCTCTCTGCGCACAACTAAGTTGGTCAAACATTGTCCTGGTGGCCCATTCTTCCAGGTATACTTTCCCTAAAGGTAGCAGCCTGTCCACTGAGAAATAACTGGAATGAAGTAAGCACTGTATTTGGATTTGGCCACTTCGTAACAGGAAAACCAATCCTAAGAACTTCGAAGAAGCAGCTAAAGGCTCCTAAGAGTCTTATCAGCTCCAAAGATTACTTAAGCTTAGCAGGAGAGATTATAGTTCTACAAGATCCAGGTCTCTTAGAGATGTCACAGCTGCAGGAAAGTAAGGCTGAGAGAGTAACAAAGGTACTGGGAAGACCCCCTTCCACGGCCCTGGAGGTTTATGGTGGGTTTACTTCCTCTTGGACTGACTGACCAGAAACTCGATTAGAGAGAGGGCTTTGCAAACAGTCCCACAGTTGGAAAGGGTGTTTGTCTCCTATTAGGAAACATTTAGCATTTAGAGTCGGCCTTGCCCTGGATTTCCTAAGAATAACTGGCCACAATAAGTAAGACCGGGGAAGTGCTGTTGAGGTCCTCTGGCCTGATCAAGTTGGGATTCACGCTGCTCCCTCCGAGCTCTGGCTGGGCAAACACAGGGGACCTGCACATCTGGCAGCTCCACATTCCTCACTCACATGTCCCTGGCCTGAGGGACGCTGGACGGAGGGCCGAGCTCACAGTGGAGCCAGCTTGCAGGCAATCTGCGTTTAGTCAAATTCTTCCCTCCCTCCCCCAGAAGCCTGCCTTTATTTGCATAGCTTAGGCCATGCTGTTCCTGTCTCCCTTGTTTTATTTTTTTTTAACGATTATGGATTTTTAGAGACTTCCACCTCTACACACCCAAACTCTCTCACCCACGGTCCGAAAACAGCAACCGTGCCTTAGCCTTAGTTTCGGTTGTTATTTTTCAGTCTTAGGATTTTTTTTTTTTTAAGGGAAAAAACTTCCAAGTGATATTCCATTAAGGAGCAGGAGGGCTGGCTCTCCATCCAGAAAACCAATCCTAACATCTTGAAACACTGTGGATGTTGAAGAAAATGAAGTGTGAGCTTCTGTGGGTGGAGAGGAGAGGAGAGGAGGCTGCACATTTGCAATGACCTGGACAGTTGTTCGGATATGAAGGATAGAAGAGGGGTTTTACGACCCCTCTATGCCTTCTCTAGTAAGCGGTGACAAGCAGAGAGGAAAACTGAGAAAATCACGGGAGCTGGGAGCACCACCGTGAACAAGTGGCCCTGGAACAGGCATTTGATGCTAATAACAGGCCAGAGTGTAGTTAGTTCACCATTTAACAGAGATTCCCTTTTGTTAGAAATAATATAATGTCACCTGACTGTTAACAGCCAACTACATCGGTGCGGAAGTTCCATACCAATTTCTTTAAACCTATTTTTTCAACATGGGGAGAGGTTAGACTCTCTCCTAGAATACTTAAAAAATGAAGTCTTTTTGTCTTTTGCCCACAATCTGAGAAAAGGTCAGCAGAAGTATTTTTTTTTTCATGCTTGAAATTTCCTGTACACTCACAAGTGTGCATGCACCCCAAGGACGTCTCTCTCTTACCCTTAACTACTTTGCTAGACTTGCAAACCTGCCACTCTACCCTTGATCTTAATTCCCTCATGATACAGGTTTTCCAACATGCGCGTTCTTAAATTGACGGCAATTTTTTTAATGGTTAAAAAAATTCTAAATCATGATGGGTCCCTAGCTATTTTCTTTTGTGAAGTTAAGTAATTTACTGGGGATGATTTAAAAAAAAAAAAAAAAAAATTATGGCCAGGTGGCTCAAGGGGATATTCTGTTGAACACTGATACTGATTAAAAATAATTTCTTCTAAATGAGACCTGACCACAAAATGGAACCATTAATGGGCGGGACGTTGTCACCACGGCGGAATCACGCCTGATCGCCTCTGCCGCCTCCCGCCGCGCGACATCTCTCTCCTGTGTTTCTTCTCCTTTTTCTTGTTCTTAATAGCAGAGTAAATAAGCAGCCAGCGAGGCCTAAATGTTTTCGGCCAAAAGCAGAGTCCAAACTCCTCAGAGAAAACATTTGGCCTCTGTGGTTTTGTAATATGTTCCAGAACACCAAGTTCAGCGAGGAACATTGTGCAAAACTCCCAGCCATCGGCCTGGCGGTGGGAGCGTTACAGTACCGGGAGCTGCACCGGGCCTTCGCCTGCACGCCCATAATGAGGCTTGTAAAAAAAAAATAGTGCTATGTGCAAGTTCTCATGGGGAAAATGAATGGCAAGAAATCCTAGCTTTAAAAGAAACAGCTAATCTGCTAGTGTGATTGTTCTTCAAAACTTACGCTGAACCAATGAGCCTAATTAAAAACACTTGGCCTACTTCTATAAAGCATCGTCGCGCTCCCTGTGCTTCGTTTGTATCCACCACAAAACTCCAGATAGACTGTTATTTTTTCGAGTGCTCGCTAACAAAGTGCTGACTTCGTTGGGATGGCTGAGCTAATTTCTTGAACTCAGTGTGAAACCTTAGCTAAACAAAATTGTGGTACTTTTCCTTAATTTGTAAAAGTGATTGGAGTGCAAACAAAATTTTCCTCTTGGGTCAATCCTATAATTTTCAATTAACTAAAACTAATCGTCAGGCAGGCACCAAACCTGCATTTTGTTTAAAGGGCCGGGAGGCATTTCCAAGGGTCAGGATGCGTTAATTGTTTTTATAATTTTGAGAGAGAAGAGAGAGAGAGAGATTGAGAGACACTGAGAAGCATGGTTGCTTTTGTTCCCAGTATTTAAATACGAAAGGGAAGGCTCTTTGAGGTAAAATGTCACAGCAAAATAAAACTCGTCCGTTTAACTGTAAGGTTGTACTTAGGACGTGTTAACAGAGTTATCCCTTCCCTGCACTGGTCCTTTACGGAACGAAGACGGAAACGTGGGACCGCTTCCTAGAGGCAGCTACGCAGGGATGACGGCCACTCAGCAGAGGGCCCAGAGCATCACTAGTTCCACTGTGATCCTTGGGCCAGCAGCAGCAGCCTCACCCAGAGCTTGTTAGAAATGCACAGTCTCAGGTCCCCCCAGCGCCACTGAGTCAAAATCGGAATTGTAAACAGATCCCTGGGTATTTGGTTTGCACGTGACAATCAGAGGATCTCTTGAAGTACACACTGGGCGCTTAGACCACGTGCGTGGTGTCTTTCCACAGAGAGTCTGCCTGGTTCTCTCCACTGAGGGGAGGGAACTCACCTTCGCCCTGTAACCCTAGCTTCTCACCACAAGGCAGTCCATGGACCAGCTGCAGCTTACAGGGGAAGAAAGCACCAGCCCAGAATTAAATGTGCAAACTCCCAATTGCCTCCAATACAAAAGCTATGGCCACGTTGGCAGAGAGTTGTCCTGTTCATTAAAGCACATCCATACTCTGTAAAGCAAGCGAACCCCAGCACCTATGGAGTAACACCCAGAGAGACTCAGGATTGTCTAGGGCCTTTGCCCCTCCCTTATTTCTCATTCTGCCTCTTTAGGAATCCAACCAATTATTTCAACTGATCCTGCCATTCAAAATGGATGCCCAGATGAAGTCATAATAATAATAATAATAATAATAATAATAATAGCACCAACTCATTTGGTCATACATAAGGTGAAATAGAGAAGGAAAGCAGGTCTGAACAGGAACTAGATTTCAAAATAAAATGCACACTTACACATACGAGATCAAGTAAAAGATCCACAGGCCAAGGCAGCCTGTGTCCACCACCTGCAGTGGTTCTTACCTGTGTAGATGAATCTCCCCGGAGTCCCTTTGCAGAACTGTTTGGATTTGTAGGACAGTGTGACTTCTACAACGCCAGGGATGTGCCGAGGAGGGGTCTGCACACGGATAGCATGGGGAGTGATCAACTAGGGGAGACATTGGGAAGAAAAAAAATTGTCATTGCTATATGGAAAGGACTCATTTTGCAACTCTCCTATCAGCTCTCCATAAACAAAGCTTTAAACCACATAATTAACTTGTCAGTGTTTATATACAATCTCGGAGGAACCTGAATGCAAGGCATTGACAACAATATTTACAAGTGGTCTGAGCACAGCCATAACAACTTTATCGGAGTTTTCCTATGTGCAGGCACTCTGCTTCCTGGTTTGAAGAGGGAGCCTGGCCTAATGAGATGATTTATCCGTACCAGGATATCCTTTGGAAAATCTCTGTTTGAAGCAGACACCGCACTCAGAGCTGAGCTCTGCCATGCCTCTCCAGAAGTTGGTGGGCCTGGTGTTTTGAACTGAGCCCTTAAACATGTGGAAAACACAGAGGTAGGAAATCACTGGGCCAAGGCGCTCTGATTAGCTGCAGAGCACACTATGAAATGCCCCTAAAGACCATTTGGTGCATTAACTACCAGAGGCACAATCAAAGGGCTTTAACCTGCCTCCCTGGAATAGCTTATGGATCTGGCAGAACTAAGGACTGTCCATAAAAGGGAAATGGAAGGCAGGGGAGCGGGCTGAAGCACCATCACTGGTCCATTAGCCAATGCCACGTGCACAGCGAGAAAGTTCCTTTCTGAACCCTGTTGGCAATCAGATTACATCTCGAAGCAGAATTTTTTTTTATTACTCTTTATCTTTGTTTACATAACTAAAATGTTATTAGTGGCCATAAAACTGGCATTATCTGGTTCTTTGAAAAATCCAGCCCTGGTATTTGAAGGGTTGACCACTTATGGTGCTGGATTCTACATATTCTCTCTGTGTGGTGTCTGTAACGGCCCACTCCTTCACTCCTCTCACGTTCATTTAGCTCAATATTTCTGGTACTGAGTCAGTATACAATGGGCTATCACTTGAGTTTGTGCTAATTTGTGTGTGTGCTGCTCTTATGGGTATAACTTAGAAAGGGCTTTTGTTTTCATGTGTAAGCCAGGCCCAAACCCAATGATTTTCCCCAAGAATCACAGGTAATACCATGAGAATCAGGGTGGCACACCCCACCCATGAGTACCAGCCCCCAGGCACTGCCAGAGTCACCTGTCCCAACAGAGTCCCCACGAGAAGAATGTGAGAGAGCGGATATTGCTGAAGTCTTCAAGTGACTTCTGTCAAATGCTCTTTCTTGAAACATACAGAAAAGCCTATCTACACAAAAATCATTGTAACAAAGCCATTAGAAGGCTCATCTTCTTCCACACAGGGTGTGGGGCTCCAGCTTAAGTGCTGGAGACACACAGAAGATGCTTCAGTGAAACCATGCTTGCGCGGACCCCCAGGAGACTGAGCTCAGTGCCATGGCTGAGTGTTTTGGATGGCTACGGGTTCACCCGTTAAGTACAAAAAATACTGACTTCAAATTCCATTCTTTTCATATTGAAATTCTTCTAAAATGCACTGTATGTTTTATAAAATAAGCAAAGTATATCTCACTTGATTTAGCCTTGATAAATCAAGGCTGTCCTTCAGAATGCCCCTTATAATATCTTGCTGTGATACAGAAAAGCCCTAAGTGACTTCTGAGGTTACAAGGGGTTGTTTTCCCCTGCACCAAATGGCCCCAGATAGCTATGGTTTTTAAATGAGTTTTATTTTAGTCAGTCTCTTTGTCTTCTCCCACCTGGTATCTTTTGCAACTTATAATCTGCTCTTCTTATTTATAAGCACTGAAATGAGGAAATCAAGTTTATTATTGAGAGAATAAGAGAGAGTAAAAGGTGATCTTCCCCAGTCAAGTGCATGTTTAATCTCAATTGTTCAGAGAGTGTTTTTGCAGTGCTGGGGATTAACACTTTCTGAGGGTCCAGGACGTATCGACTACATTTCTGAGGATTTTACATACAAAATATTAATTTGATCAGAGCAATGGCTTTTATTCTTATGTCTTTTTTTCAAATGTGAAAACAGAATCTTAAAATGGTTAAGTTGCTTGTACAAGATCATCCTTGTTAGAGCAAAAAGTGACCCTGATGTAGTTCAAAAAAACTATAGTGACAAATACTTCCTATTAACGATATGGAAATATGGAAAGAAATATGGAAACTTATAAAATGTAGTTACTAACTCAGATTTTTCAGATCCAAAGACTGTGTGTGTGTGTTTTCCTGTCCTCATGCTATAGCCACTTCTCATTTACTGCCTGATCCTTGGTTGTGTTTTTGATGGCTAACGTCTCCATATTGTTATATTACAAATAGGTGGTATGCTTCTCTTTTTAAGAATTCCTTAGGATGTAGAGTACATTAATTCACAATAATACTTAAAAGAACTTTCAGCAGGCTCGAAAATCTTTCACCTCCCCTCTTTTTTCTCAGGGGAATTTTTTTTTTTTTAATGGAAAGATATTAGTAAATAGATGAGTGAAGATGCCTTTTTAAGTATAAGTACTTCTTACCTGTGAGCTGCTACACTGAGAAACAAAATTCATGGGTTTTATGAATGGATTAGATATGACTGTGATGAAACTACTGATGTGGGGTGTTGGCAAAAAGCATTAGGCTCAGAAAAACTGAACCACATTTTCATGTATAATTTCATTTTCAATTCTAGTCAATTGCCCTAACTAAAGCAGAGATTTCTTCTTGAAATAACTGTGTTTCACAAGTGAGGCAAAATATGAATCATCACCAGAAAATGAATTCACTGATGTTTTTCTTTCTGTGGATGTTAATCTGGGAACAGACTGGCATTGACGCACGATTATGATGGCCTACCGAGGAAAACGATTTTATCTAACTTCTATCGACTTGAAAGCATTGGCTCATTGACTAATAACTCAAAGAATCATGGAGTTTATTTCTCAAAGGAATGCTAGTAATCACTTAAAACTAACACTCTCATTATAACACCTAAGGACACAAAAGGTCAAAAAAGTCTAGTGGCTTCAAAAATTGACCCAACTTCTTAGGAGAAAGACAGGGTCTGGATCTGGAAGTCTAGACCCAAAGGACCCTTCCTCCCTCCCCCCCACACACACACATCCCAGGACAAATTTCCGACACTGTTCCAACCTGGTTGAACTAAGGCAGCCACTCTAAGCAAGAAGGGGCAAGGATGCCAGGAAGTCTAAATTTTCCAAATTTCCATCGCTGGAATACCACTTTCTCAGTTTTGCCCTATCTGTATGACACCTACATACAATTACATCTGCAATATGTTAAAAATGGTTTTCCTTTTTGTTTGAAATATTTTTGAAAGGAATCTTTCTATCATTACCGTAACTAGCAAACTTGTATCCCCTAACAAAATAAGGAGATATTATAGATGGTAATCTTAAGGTTAACTTGATGCCGTTAAATTCTAGCTAGATCATGGCGACAACCTGAAGGAGTTTATTGAAAACGGCATCAGTGTTAGATGTGACAGGCTCCTTTGCCCCAGTTGAGACTTTCTCCGTTAACATAAATCAGAAGGATTAAAAGAGAAACAAAAGAATTACTTTCTTGCTATCTGATTCAGTTCTACTTACTATCTGTGGGAAATCCAAAATTATCTCCTGTACTACCTGGGACACGTGATCCATACTTTGTGAGATACTGTTCTAAGCAATTAGAGATTCACTCTTTTGACTCAGCTTCCTTAAGTTACAAATCAAATGAGTTGAGCTAAAAATAAATATTCTTTTGAAACTGCAGCATCTGACACTACTTTCTCCCATCTTGGAAGTCTCCGCGGTGGCACTAATTACAAGACCTAGGACGCGCAGAGTGTCTAACGGTTACCAAAGCACTTTCACAGTCACTATCTTTGAAACCCATCCTTGTGCGATGTGCATTCCAGATGAGAACAGTTGACGGTTGGCACGTTAATCAAAATTATTTAAAACACTAGGAAGGAAACCCGTCTCTTACACCTGTAAATAAGTGTTCTCCAGACCTCATCTCTTGTTCATTGGCTCCTGTTTTTCTCATTCGCAAACTTTTCCTTCCTGCCAACTTCTTAACTGCAGAGCTGTCACAGATTCTGTCCTATATTTTCTTCTGTTTTTACTTGCCTCACACTACTTGAGTTCACTCATGGACTCAACCACCTCAGCTAAACTCACTTCCAAATCTACACCTGTAGCCTTGATCCCTTTGGCCAGGCCCCAAACTTTCCTTAGCAACAGAGTAACAGAATCTCCCCAAACACGCCTAACTGCCACCTCAATTTCAACATGACCCAAGCTAAATTTATCGTCTTGCTACCTATCAATGTGTTTCTTGCCTCCGTGTTCCCTTTCCCGGGCAAGGCAACGCCACCCTGTGAACCGCCCAGCACAGAGACCTTGGGGTGTGTTTATGTCCCTCGCCTCCACTCCCGCCTGGTCCTGCGGCCTGTCTCCCCCACTTTCTTCCATCCAGGCTCTTACCATTCCTTACTCAGCCTATTAAGCGCTGCAACTGCTTTCCAAACACATGCCTTCTACTTCCACTTTCTCCTCCTGGGTTACCTTCTGCCCAGACGGCCTCATCATGCCATTCCCTGCCACAGGCGCGGCTGCCTCATGCAGTGTGTACTCCAAACTCCTTGGCATGATACTCGGGGTGCCCCCAGGCCTGCCACCCATCTCCCCTCCTGGTGGCGCTCCCCGCTTCGCCCTTGGGCATTCTGTAGGGTGGGCACATGGGCACATTAAAACGCCAACCCTTGCCCCACATCTTTGCTTGGTCCGTGCCATTCGTTGCCTAAACCTCCCCCTACTCATAAGAGCTATGAGTAGGGTCTTCTTCTTTAAGACCCTGACCGTATGACCTCTCTTCCAAAAGTTTTATCTGATCCTAAGAGTCAAGAGTTACCTGCACCTTTCTAAGAATTTATACAATTACGGTGTTTATACCATAACACTTAGCATCCAATTTTCTTTGTGCCGTAAAGATTTCCCTATAATGTTTCTCCCATTAGGCAGTCCCTGAGATGGGCAACAGGGTCTG